TCTGACCGCGGTCGCTTGACGACGGTGGTGCGCTCCAGGTGCGATTCCTGCCGTGGCCTGGGGGTGAGTTTTGAGGCTCGCACGCGCTGGCGCCGTCGTTTCCAGGGGATCCTAAGCTCTTCCAACAGCTTTGGCCAACAGGGAATATCAACAAAGTTCGCCCTTGTTAAGTATGTGATCAAGGATTGGGCTTGCCGTTATTCCCGAAGAGCTTGCGCTCAGAACCCCGCCCGCGCACGCACGCACGCACGCACGCACGCACGCACACACGCACGCACACGCACGCGCGCACGCACACATACGCACACACGCGCACACGCGCGCGCGCACACACGCAGGCGCACGCACGCGCGCACGCACACACATACAGACAGACAGACACACGCACACACACACACACACTTTTTGGTCGGCGGGGCGAGAGCGAACCTCTTCCGCTAAAAGCTAGGCGGGCTACGCACAGCTCCAATCAGGGGCACGCACGCACGCGCGCGCGCACACGCACGCGCGCACGCGCGCGCGCACGCACGCACGCACGCACGCACGCACGCACGCACGCACGCACGCACGCACGCACGCACGCACGCACGCACACACACACACACACACACACACACGCACGGGAAATGGGGGGAAGACGCAAGTGTACAAGATGTGGGGAAATATAGATGGGGGATCCTGGGGTGTGGGTCTGTTTGTTCGTGGATGCCCTTGGGCTCCTTCCAAAACAGGGTGGGGGGTGGGGGGGCGAAGTCTGCCGCGCCTGGCTGGTTTCGGCCCATGGCCGCCCGGCGCGCTCCTCGATCCACTCGGGCGCCTCTCGGCGCCAGGAGGCGCAGCAGAACCAGCTATGCGTGAGCCGATGTTTTGCCTTGCCATTTTCAGTCGCTGGGAAGCCAGCTATACGTGAGTTGATGTATTCCAGGGTCCACAGCGATTTTCCACCGCGCCCGGGGGCTAGGGGCGGCCTTGCAAAGCCGGTCAACACCATCCGCAGCACGGGGGCGGGGGCTGGACCCCTGTATCCAGAACGACCATGCGCCGACCATGAGGTCGAAGCGGCGCTGTCCCTGCTCAAGCCAGGCAAGCGCACGGTGCACTTGTGCAACGCAGCTTTGCGGGTCCAGGTTGAGGAGGGCTTCCGCCTTACGCGGGCACTACTCAATCTTGGTCGCGCCCTGTGCGTAGCGGCCCGCTCATGGTCTCTTCGCCACTTTGCTCCTATCCGGAAGTCAGGGCCGGCGACTGTCCAGAAGATCGTGTCGCTGCGGCCGATGTCGTTCACGATTGATATGGCCTTCGTCCAGGGCGCGGCATGGATTGCCCGCGGCGGACCTCTGATAGAGGCCTACTGTGGCCCATCCCGGCAAGGGGGGTGGGCGATGCTGTGTCGTTGGTTATTGCTCTCACCATGAATGCCCCATTGCTGGCCGCGCAAGACCTGCCAACATGGTGGGTTATCGCGGACAACAAGTGGGCGTTTGACGTCGCCTCAGTGAATGGAACGCCCTGCGGCGTCTTTGAAGCAGGAGTGCGCGGGTCGGACTGGCTGATATTGGACGACGTGTTGGCGCAAGACCATCAGGCGATCGGCCTGCACAACCTGTTGTCACCCGTTTTCGCGCTCGGTTGCGGTACCGCCCAGGGCAGGCGTTTCTCGCTCCACATTTACAGCGCGCAGTTGACAGCGCTGCCCGTGGAGATCGCGGCCGCAGTCCCTGGGGGGTGCGCCGCCGTGGCCCCGCGCCTGGCTAGGCGGGCTTTCACAGCAGCGGGCGAGGCTTGTCCCCCAGCCACCGAGGCGGCAATGCCGGACAGGGCCCTCCCAGCAGCGGCACTGCTGCAGGAGGTGCTTCGGGTGGCGGCTTCCGAATCCCCGCCATGGCCGCGCGCCGAAGCCGCGCAAGCCACCTGCCTCGGTGCCCTCCCGGCCTTTGCGGGCAGAGCCGCGGTGGTGGAACTCGCGGGCGACTTGCGCGTGCCACCTGCGCAGTCTGTCGACGACCTCACGGTAGCTTGCCCATTTGTGGGGGCGGTGCGCGCGGTCCTATCTCCTGAGGAAGAATCCGCGTGCAGTCGGTGCGCGCGCGAGTTCAAGTCGTTTTTCCCCCGAGAGAGGTCCAAGACGTGCGTTCTTCCTGTCCTAGGTGCCGCCCCTCCAAGACTCGCCAGCTGCCCGGTGGTGGACCGCAAGGTCCTCCTGGGAGTGTTAGTGGATTCGGACTTGTCGTTTGAACCCCTGCTCCGCGAGATCGTCGCCGTCGGTCACAGCTGTTTTTCAAAGCTGCTCTATGCGGCGGAATCTGGGGGCTTTTTCCATCCCGGCGGCCGCGGCGCAGGTCCCCGCTCGAGTCGAACCCGTGGTTTTGTGCGCCGCCCCGCTCCTGGCCGCTGTGCCCGGCGCGGAATCAGCCTTGAATAAGTTGCAGGTGACCTGGGGCAGGCGTGTTTTAGGGTGCCACCAGGGGCCGCCAATTCGCCATGCAGTGGTCCTCGCCCAATGTGGCTGGCCCATGCGCCTGGGAACGAAATTGTTGGAAAAGGCGTTGTTGGCTCGAGCGCTGCCCATGGTCCTCCCGGGGGACCACCCAGGCGCCCTCATGCTGCAGGCTGCTCTGTCGCTGGCCACCCCCACGTGGGAATCGGCGGTGTTTGCTGCGGCCCAGCGGCTCGAACCCCCCCTGGCGGACCTCGAGGGGCATCCCGCGTTTCCTGCCGCCCTGCTGCAAGAGGCGCGGGTGTCTTCGGCCGCTAGGAAAGTGATTATCAAATCGTACCGGCTCGAGGTGTTGCGCCCGACCCTGTTGCGGCACGACCGCGCAGCATTCGCGAAGGTTGCCATGCAATCTTTGCCTCAGTTTAATCGCTCTTTTGCTTCTCTGTGCACCCTCCCGGCGCCATTGGACCCAGACATGTTGGCTGGGGAGCCAGGGCCGTCCTTCTGGTCCCACTACAGGCTCTGGGCTGTGGCCCGAATGACGGGCAAGTGGCCCTTGTCGGTTCTGGGGGGCGAGGAGCACCCCATTTTCCTGCGCCGTTGTAGAGCCTGCGGGCGCCGCGAGGTTTCGGTGCGACACGCGCTAAGTTCTTGCCCTGTGTTCGGCCAGGAATGCGAGGAACTCTTTCCAGGGGATCCGACGCCAGATTTGTTGCTCCAGCTTTTGATCGGAGATTCCAGGTGCCCTCGCAAGCGTATCCAGCACGTGGTGTTTGCGGGTAGAGCCATTCGTAGGTGTGCCCCTTCCTTCCTCTCCTCGTCCTCCTCCTCCTCCTCCTCCTCCTCCTCCTCTTCTTCTTCCGACTCGGGGTAGGTGGCGGGGGATCCCGCTGCCGCGCGGACGGCCCGACAGGGCCGCCAGGTGTGCCGTTCCCCGTGCTTCACAGTCGTGATGCGCGCCGCTCTGGCTATTGCGAAGGCCTTACGGCCGGTGCCGCCGACCCTGTTCGCAATGCGCAGCAAGAGGCACGGGCTGTGGGATGGTTTTGGGGAACGGGGAGAAGGACGAGAAGGTGGGGGAGGGAGGTGTCGTATCTGACCCGGGACTTCCCCGGGACTCCCCTGGGACCCCCCCCGGGATCCCCCCTCCCCCCCCCGTCGGGGAAGGGAAAGGGAAGGGGCTTCCCTTCGACTGATTTACGACGTTGCTCAAGGTCGGTACGGGGGGGGGGCGTCGTATCTGACCCGGGGGGACCCCCCCCCCCCCCCTCCCCCCCCCGCGGGGAGGGAAAGGGAAGGGGCTTCCCTTCGACTCAATTACGACGTTGCTCAAGGTCGGTACGGGGGGGGGCGTCGTATCTGACCCGGGGGGGGGGTCGCTACCCCCCCCGCTACCCCCCCCCCCTCCCGGCGGGGGAGGGATCAAAGGGAAGGGGCTTCCCTTCGACTCAATTACGAGGTTGCTCAAGGTCGGGGCGGGGGAGGGAGTCCCGGGCTTCCCTTCGACTGAATTACGACGTTGCTCAAGGTCGGCTTGGCTGGAGCCCAGGGGAAGAGGAGTCCCAGGGAAAGGGAAGGACAGAGACGACGAGTACAAAGAATAACGGAGATGACGGCTCGAACGGAAAAAACCCTCACACACGCCGACAGGGTCGGCGGATTCCGTGGAAGGGGATCCGTCCGCTAGTTTCTCTGTGTGCGTCCTTCCCCTGCTCCCTGGTTCCCTCCCGCGCTCGCGTTCTAGTGCTTGCTGTAAGGCGCCCCTCCGCCTCGCAGACGGGATGGGCCATTTTTCGTTAGTTCCCATGCCTCTTGGGCTTGGGGCTGCTCGTGGAGCTCGTGGGGCCTTCTCCCCCTCTCGCGCGTCCCCCTCCCTCTCCCCTTGTGCACGGTTTCACCGCGGGGGTTCCCGCAGTAGGGTCGCTTGTCTCACGGTCCCCAGTCGTCCCCAGGGTCGCCTGACAGCGGGGCATTCTGGTGTGGGGGGGGGGGGCGTCGGCAGGCCTGTGGAGATAGTGTGACGGCCCGTAACGCCGGCGAGCGGCGCCTCCCGTCCCCGCGGGAAGAGCAGCTAGTTGCGGGCGGCCTGCCCCTGCTTGCCCTGGTACCAGCAGGGGGGGGGAAGGGGTGTGTAACACCACCGCCTGTCCCCCGCTGGCTGCACGACTCCGACCTGCTCACGCCGGGCAGCTCTGAGCCGCAGCGTCCGCGGAACGCGCGTCAGGGGCCGCCCGCGCGCGCGCCGTGGAGGCTGTTATTCATCACCCACCAAACCACCCCAACCCAACCCGAAGGCTTCAATTTGCCCTCCATTTCCAGTGGGGGGGGGGGGTCGGGGAACATCGAGAAAACACATATGGAACCCGCACCCCCCCCAACCCGAAATTCGGGTCTTCGGGTTGGGTTGGGGTGGTCTGGTAGGTAGTCAGTTATGAATGCGAAATGCGAAATGCGAAAACATCTGGGGCGCAGGAGAGCCAGCTGCGTGAGCCGAGGTTCTACCCTGCCCTCGTGCGATCCTGCCGCTTGCCCCCCCCCCCCCCCCTTCCCCCCCTTCCGAGAGGTGCGGCGGGTCGGCCTCAGCGTGGCGGAGGCCGTCCGGGGCAGCGGCTCGAAGGAGCTCCGTGGAGGAAGCGTCATAGGTCGGAGGTTTTGATACACACACGGTTCGGGGGAGCGTAAGACCCGGGTTTGCCGGGACTCGGGTTCGCCATCGTTTTTTGACGACCGCTCCTCGGATTTTGACGAGGAGGAGTTTCGTGGGATGTCTGCAGCGGGAGGCCTCGTCAAAATGCAGGCTCGGCCTCGTCATTTTTGTGACGACCTCGTCGGGGATTTCCGAGTCCCCTGTACCCAGGTCTTACGTCCCCCTGACATAGGTCGGAGGTTGATACACACACGGTTCATGCCTGATTGTTCGAAGCGTTTTTTTGATCTTCTGGGGGGCCAAGATCCTTTCATTTCCCCTTTTCCATCCTGGGCCTCTTCCTGGCCACTGGGGGGCCAGGAGAAATTAGAAACGAACGCAAATAGAAAGGAGCGCGAGGGTAGGCATGAACGACGTGTAGAACCCCTACCCTGACACGCCGATTAGCGAATTGGCCGTTTTCGGTTCGCGCGAGGGCGTCGCGGCCGTAAATTTTGCGGGTCCAGGTCCGTCGGTTTCGGTCCCAGGCCGTTTTCACGGAAGGGCGGTTACTAAATTGGGGTCTGTCCACCGCCAACTATATGTCAGGTGCGCGTAGCATCGGCGTGACGGCGACCCTCTGGCGGGCGTTCCATGTGGACCGCCGCCAGTGTCCAGAATCGGCCAACAGGGAACGAGCTGGCCGTCTGGAAGCCGCCGATCGTTGCAGGTCCAAGGATCCGCACGGTGTCTGAGACCATCGCCGAAGTCGTCACGACACGCGCCTGCCGTGCCGCTGCCGCTGCCCTCCCAAGGTCTTGGGCTCGAGGTTCCAGGCTTTCAGGGGCGTGTTCGTTGGTTCTCGGCCGCCTTCCGGCCTCGGAGTGTGTCCCAGCGGTGGCGCCTCGTCGAGAGGGCTTCGGGGGTGCCCAGGCCGTCCAGAGCGGCTGTTGGTGAGCCGAGTTATGAACCGAGAATTGCTGGGACACGTTCTACTTTTAAGTCGGGCCTGTCCCTTTACATGAGGAGTATTCAAAAATAGCCAAATTGTCGGGGAACGATGTTCGACTATGTTTGATCATTTTGAGGTGTTTGTTTTTTATTTTTTGTTGTTTTACAAAAAAAAGAAGAAGAAAGAACATCCAACATCCGCCTGTAGAGGGGGGACATGCCCGACCTAATTCTACTTGGATCACCGCGGAGGTTGCTTAGGGGATCGGGGGATTGTAGGCGGATGCCAGGGTGGACCACACCTGGCCCAACCTGTCTCATAAGTGGGTGAGGATTGCCTTGAGTGGCCTGGGTTGGTTCGATGCCTTCTTTGTTTACCCCCCTGAGCCATTTAGGGCACCTTATACCCAATTCAAAGCTAGGTTCGGCCAGATGCGATCCATCTTCGCGTCCATTTCTAAACCCCCCTGTCCACACGGTGATCCAAGCACCGATGCCGCCGCCCTCTGCCTCGCGTTTGTTTGGTGCTTCCTGGGAAGCTCCAGTGGCCACGGCTGGCTCTGCCTCGCTCTCCGGGGCCTCCCGAGAGGCCCCGGAGTGTCGCCGTGGCTGGCTTCGCCTCGGAGGCCTGGTCAGAGCGCGCCTCGGGAGAGGTCTTGGGAGCAGCCCCTGGACACTCGCACCGGAGATTTGGCAGCATCCCCCGATAGTGAATGCATTCGCACACTTCGCCACGCGTGTTTTGCCTTATTGTGTGAAGCGCCTTGCTCGAATTGTCGTTGTCTTCTATTGGAGTCATCGCCCTGGCGCGTAGCGTCGCCCAGGTGTTGTCCTGTCCCCTGGACATTCGCCGAGCTGATGTTTGATCCAGCCGCGACCCCAAAGCTGCCTGGACTGGGGGACATTGGCCTCGCCGCCGTCCGTCGCCGCCGCCGCACGTCGCCGCCGCCGCCCGCTGCCGCCACCGCCGCAGCCGTCGTCGTGGTCGTCGTCGTCGTGGTCGTCGTGGTCGTCGTGGTCGTCGTGGTCGTCGTCGCCGTCGTCGCCGCCGTCGCCGCCGTCGTCGTCGTCGTGGCCGTCGTCGTCGTCGTCGCAGGAGCAGGGGGACATCTTGCAGCACATCGGCGCCCAGCTGCGGGGGAAGAGGGAGGAGCTCCGGCGCCTCCGCAGCCGCCTGCTGCCGCCCCTGCTGCAGCCCTCGACGGCGGGCCCAGACTCGGCGGCACTGCTGACGCTAGACGCCGAGAGCCTGCGAGTCCTTGCCACAGTGGACGGCTCCTGGGTGCAGGACGAGGAGGACCGAGGCAGCCCAAGCGACACACACAGGAAATTTTGGAGTTGAGTTCCGAATGGATTTCTTGGGCAGGCGCCTGGGCCCCCCTGACGACGCCTCCGGCGCCAGCCCTGGCGCGCTCCGTGCGACAGGTCATGGGGCCAGGGCTGGTCCAAGAAAGCCACGCGGACCTCAGAAAATTTACGTTTGTGACAGTTGTTTCCTCTAGAGGAGGAGGCCGACCCGCCAAACGATGCGGGCGTGCCAGACTGGTACAGGAGCTTGCCGCAGTTGCCGTCCGAGGACGACTACCGCCGTCGCCTGAACTGGGATTACGACAGATCCTCGAGGAACCCGTTTTGGCGCGTGTCGTCCTTCCAGGCGGAGGGCGGCGACCATACCAAAAGCATCCCGGACGCCGTGCCGGAGCAGGGCATGGAGGGCATCCAGGATCGGAGGCCCCCAGACGGTGTGGTGACCACACCGTGTGACGAGTCAACGGGGATTCTGGGAGGCCGCAAGGTTCTGGGAGACTTGAGCCGTTCTCCTTGAGAACGTCTGGGGCGATTGGGGCCTCCGAGGTCCCAAGACCGTGCGGGGACGGGACCGTGCAGTGAGATCTGTTGGGGGTCCTGAGAGCTCACCGCGGTCTATCACCCCTTATTTTCCCACGCCGCATCGCCGATGCATCGGCCATGAGGCTCGCAGTGGAGCCTGGTGTTCTTCGCGCCGACGTCGCCGACGCACCGCTGGTGCACCGCCGATGCGTCGGCGATGCATCCGGGAGACTGCGCGATCCTCCGACCCCACCGGCTCGCACCCGATTTTGGGAGGCCTCCGTGAACACTTGCTCAGGCTCGCTCTTGGCAGTTTGGCCAGTGTGATGTTTCAGCCTGCTCGGCGGCTTCCGTTACAGTCCGTCCTGGTATGGCTTCTACGCTCCGTCGATTCCTGCACGCTGGTGGTGGAGCCTGGGGGGACGTCTAGTACTGTGTGAGTGTAGATGGCGTCGGTGGCACAACAAAAAATACACGATTCGGGTAAGCCTCCGGCCTCACAGGGATCACCCCCCGCAGGAGGGCGTGCTGGAGCAGGGCCGCGTGCTGCTGGACCTGCTGCTGCACCTCCCCTCCGAGGAGCGCGCCGCGCCCCACCGCGGCTCCGCCGACGCGACTACGTCGGAGGCGGCGCGGGCGCTGGGCGACGCGCCGCTGGAGCGGGCGCTGGGGTCCGACGCCGCCGAGCAGGCAGGGCCGCCCAGGATCCCAGACCCCCCCGAGACACGAACAAGAAAGCACGACGGGGATTTTGTTCGCTACTCTCGGCCTCTGGGGGCCCTCACCCGGCCTCGGGACCACGAAACAACGACTCGGGATGAGAAGCCGGTCCCCAGGAATGGGTCTGGACCTCTGGGTGTCGCGTCATGCGAAGATCATAATCGAAAGAGAGGGTCCTCTCAGGAGGCGGCAGGGCTGCTCAGAAGCCCTCGCGCCTTCTGAGAGGTTTTTCCCAACCATCCTGTGGTGTTGGGTCCTCGTTTTGAAGAGACAGCGCCCCGCGTTCACTCCTTCCTCCCGCTGCCCCCTCCCTCCCTCCTCCCTCCTCCCACTATCACGGTCCACCCCTCACACGTTTCGTGGCCCCATAGGGAGCTCCACCGAAGGCCCGAGTGGCTGCGGGCGCATGGCGGCGCCGTACCCATTTCGGCACACCCCTCACACGTTTCGTGGCCCCATAGGGAGCTCCACCGAAGGCCCCAGTGGCTGCGGGCGCATGGCGGCGCCGCACCCATTTCGGCACACCCCTCACACGTTTCGTGGCATAGGGAGCTCCACCGAAGGCCCGAGTGGCTGCGGGCGCATGGCGGCGCCGCACCCATTTCGGCACACCCCTCACACGTTTCGTGGCCCCATAGGGAGCTCCACCGAAGGCCCCAGTGGCTGCGGGCGCATGGCGGCGCCGCACCCATTTCGGCACACCCCTCACACGTTTCGTGGCCCCATAGGGAGCTCCACCGAAGGCCCCAGCATGCGCGCCGCGGCTCACACGTTTCGTGGTAGGGAGCTCCACCGAATGCCGCACACCATTTCGGCACACCCCTCACACGTTTCGTGGCCCCATAGGGAGCTCCACCGAAGGCCCCAGTGGCTGCGGGCGCATGGCGGCGCCGCACCCATTTCGGCACACCCCTCACACGTTTCGTGGCCCCATAGGGAGCTCCACCGAAGGCCCCAGTGGCTGCGGGCGCATGGCGGCGCCGCACCCATTTCGGCACACCCCTCACACGTTTCGTGGCCCCATAGGGAGCTCCACCGAAGGCCCCAGTGGCTGCGGGCGCATGGCGGCGCCGCACCCATTTCGGCACACCCCTCACACGTTTCGTGGCCCCATAGGGAGCTCCACCGAAGGCCCCAGTGGCTGCGGGCGCATGGCGGCGCCGCACCCATTTCGGCACACCCCTCACACGTTTCGTGGCCCCATAGGGAGCTCCACCGAAGGCCCCAGTGGCTGCGGGCGCATGGCGGCGCCGCACCCATTTCGGCACACCCCTCACACGTTTCGTGGCCCCATAGGGAGCTCCACCGAAGGCCCCAGTGGCTGCGGGCGCATGGCGGCGCCGCACCCATTTCGGCACACCCCTCACACGTTTCGTGGCCCCATAGGGAGCTCCACCGAAGGCCCCAGTGGCTGCGGCGCATGGCGGCGCCCCCCATTCGGCACACCCCTCACACGTTTCGTGGCCCCATAGGGAGCTCCACCGAAGGCCCCAGTGGCTGCGGCGCATGGCGGCGCCGCCCCATTTCGGCACACCCCTCACACGTTTCGTGGCCCCATAGGGAGCTCCACCGAAGGCCCCAGTGGCTGCGGGCGCATGGCGGCGCATTTCGGCACACCCCTCACACGTTTCGTGGCCTCATAGGGAGCTCCACCGAAGGCCCCAGTGGCTGCGGGCGCATGGCGGCGCCGCACCCATTTCGGCACACACCCAGCTCCACCCAGTTGCGGGCGCATCACCCATTTCGGCTCACCCCTCACACGTTTCGTGGCCCCATAGGAGCTCCACCGAAGGCCCCAGTGGCTGCGGGCGCATGGCGGCGCCGCACCCATTTCGGCACACCCCTCACACGTTTCGTGGCCCCATAGGGAGCTCCACCGAAGGCCCCAATGCTACCGCCCTCATGCGTCCCGTACGCCCAGGACAGCGTTTCGTGGCACGCCTTCGTGGCCCCATAAGGAGCCCCACCGAAAGCGGCACCCACAAAGCGTTATTCACAATTGCATATGGTTGGGTCCTTCGCCAGGATTATTTTCAATGAGTCTTCAGGGAAGGCTTATCGAAGACTTCTCAGAAGGCCGGGGGACTTCCGAGCCTTCTGAGAAGGCCCGCCTCTTCTCATTTCCCCCCTGGGCTCGCCGCCTACGATCCGAACCGATACGATTCGGTTCGAGTCGGTCTGGTTCGCCAGCAGTGGCCGGGGTCGCCTGGAGCCGAGCGTGGCGCGCTGATTTCGGTCCGATGTGATCCGGGGCTCGGGAGGCTCCGATGGCGATGCGATCCATGTATCACCACCCACCAACCCACCCCAACACAACCCGAAGGCCCCGATTTGCCCTCCATGTCCTGTGTGGGGGGGTCGGGGAACATTGAAAAAGCACACATTACGTCCGTTACCCCCCCAACCCGAAATGGGTTGGGTTGGGCTGGTTTGGTATGCAGTCAATGCCCGATCCGATCCGACCTCGCGATGCGATCCACGTCCGATCCCAGACCCCCGGCGTCATGACTTGTTCACCACGCGACCCCCAAGAGGTCCGGAGCCTTTCGCCGGGACCGGTTCTTCATCCTGAATCGTTGTTGACGGTCCCGAGGGCCGGTAAGGGCCCCCGCAGAGGCCGAAAATATAGAACAACTGTCCGTCGTGTTTTTTTTCATGACTCGAGGGGGTCTGGGATCCGATCCGATCCCGCGATGCGATCTGACCCGGTCCTGGCAGGTCTCCTGCGGCGCCGGGACCCGGCACGCCGCGGCGTGCCTCCTCAAGCTCGGGGCCCAAGGCCTCGGCGCGCTGTGCTTCGCGTAGAGGCCGCGCGCGCCCAATGGCGGCCCCACTGTTCGAGCTGGGTGGAAGGACGGGCCTCCTCCTCCTCCTCCTCCTCCTCCTCCTCCTCCTCCTCCTCCTCCTCCTCCCCCTCCTCCTCCTCCTCCTCCTCCTCCTCCTCCTCCTCCTCCTCCTCCTCCTCCTCCTACCCAGACAAAACTACCCTCCCATCGTTTTCCCCTTCTTGGGCCTCCCTGGCCTCCGTCGTCGCCTCCGCCAGATTCGCCTCGAACTCATATGGTCAGAACGCACCCCGGGAGAGAGGTCCGGGGAGTAGCGGTGTCGGCACCTGAAGCTCTCCCCAGCTCCAGGTTTCCAGTCGTTTTCGTACGGTAGGTTTGCGTCGTGTCGACCAGCGGCGACCCCAGCGCCGGCGTTCAAGGTTGAACGCCGCCGGCGACCCAGAATCGATCGATGTTGAATGATCGGACGTTGCGGCAGCGGCCGATCGTTCAAGGTTGAACGATCCCTGCGGTGTCAAAAACCAACGCTGGGGTCGGCACGACACGAACCTGCCGTAGGTTGTCGGCGGTTTTCCGGCCCCAGAGTGCCTTCCAGCAGCTGCGCCTCGCCGAGAGCGCTCCAGGGGTGGCCGGAGCGCCCCGTTAACGGCCGCCGGGGAGCCGAGTCGTGGCCCGAAAGCCTCTCAGGGGCAACGTTTTAGGGGGAGTCGGAGCCCGGCAGCTTTTGTACTGCGTTCAGCCTCCGCGAGCCCGCGCACGTCTGGCAGCATCGATTGGGGAGCTCCAGCGCCTCCCGGCTGCGCCGAGGGTGTCCGCCGCGCAGCAGCCGCGGCTCCTGTGCCCCGCCAGGGGGGCAGAGAGCCTAAGCGGGGCGGAGGGTGAGCGGGAGGGGGGGGGAGCGGGGTGGGGCCGCCCATCACAATTTGCTTATGATGTCGGACATCTGTGCTTTTGGCGATGCGCCACTGCTCCTGTACTCTATACTGCGTAATCGTTTCTTGAGTCGCCGCCGCTGCATTTGAATTGGAATTTTTCTCGCTCGGCAGGAAGGGCCTTTAGCACGTTTTACTTCTTCGCTGCAAGAGCCCAAAGGCGGCCTGGCTCTCGAGGCTCGAGGGCGGAAGCTCCCTCCCTCGCTGCCCCCCCGCCCACTCCCTCCTCCCCCATGCCATGCCCTCCCCCACCCCCTCCTCTCGCTCGCCCTCTCTCGCGTGGCCACCCGCTCCCTTCTCCTCACTCCCTCGCTGCCCCCTCCCGCCACACAACAAACGGCAAGACGACCAACAAAATGTTCACGATCGACTTCCGCCTTTCAACTCCTCGAAGCCCGAAGCCCCCGGAGAAACCACAACCAGACTCACCCGGACCGCTGCCGCGAGAAACATGCGTTAAACCCACAGCGAACGCCATGGAAGCCATGGAAGCTGTCCACTCCGCCTTCCCAGACCCCCGGCGTCATGACTTGTTCATCACGCGACCCCCAAGAGGTCCGGAGCCTTTCGCCGGGACCGGTTTTTCATCCTGAATCGTTTTTGACGGTCCCGAGGGCCGGTAAGGGCCCCCAGAGGCCGAAAATATAGAACAAAAGTCCGTCGTGTTTTTTTCATGACTCGAGGGGGTCTGGGATTCTCGCTCGCGCTTCCCCACACGGTGTCCTCCTTCGGTGACCGCGCTGCCCTGGTCAAACGACCGGTCGGCGCCCGCATGCTGGACGGCCTGCGCCCCAGACCGGTGCAGGCCTTTTGCTCGCTAGGTCCGACGGCCGTCGGTTCAGCCACAACCTCGCGGGCCTCCCGCAGCGTCCCTCCCGGTATACCCAGACCTCGCTCGAGTCCTGAAAGCATCAGAACGGGAGGTGTTTCGGTATATTTTCGGCCTCTGGGAACCCTCACCGGGCCTATCGGGGCCGTCAAGACACGGCTCGGGAGGAAGAGCCGGCCCTGGCGAAGAGGTCTGGACTTCTGGGGGTCGCGTGATGGCGAAGTCACGACGTCGGGGGCCTGGGTTGTCAGCAGCAAGGGGGGTCTGCGGCGGCCGCGCCCCTTCCGCAATTACCAGCTCGACGATATCCTCCCGGCCGCCGCCCCTTGACGATGTCCTCCCGGCCGCCGCACCTCGGCGAATGCTATCCCGGCCGCCGCGAAGTGTCCCCCCAAGTCGGCCTTCGAATTACCTCGAAACCTCCTCCTCCTCCTCCTCCTCCTCTCCTCCTCCCTCCTCCTCTCCTCCTCCCTCCTCCTCCTCCTCCTCCCCCTCCCCTCCTCCTCCTCCCCCTCCTCCTCCTCTCTCCTCCTCCTCCTCCTCCCTCCTCCTCCTCCTCCTCCTCCCCCTCCTCCTCATTCGAATTACGGTAGGTTTGCGTCGTGTCGACCAGCGGCGACCCCAGCGCGGGCGTTCCAGGTTGAACGCCGCCGCCGGCCCAGAATCGATCGATGTTGAGCGATCGGACGTTGCGGCAGCGGCCGATCGTTCAAGGTTGAACGATCCCTGCGGTGTCAAGAACCAACGCTGGGGTCGGCACGACACGAACCTGCCGTACCTCCCTCGGACTGCCAGAACCCCGGTGTGCGCCGCAAAGATGCAGACCCCCCCGGGGCTCACACGTCCCTCCTCCGTTCCTTGTCCTTCGGTGGCAACTCATGGGGACCTATCTCATCTTGTATGGGCTCCTGCGGATCGACGCTGATTGACGCTACATCGACGCTACATCGACGCTAAGCGACGCAAGCCGACGCTAACCGACGCTGAATCGGCGCTATCCCATCGATGACCTGCCGCTAATCGACGCTAGTCGATGCTAAAGACGGAATTCAAAGGGCATTCAAGGCAGGTGATCGATGGGACAGCGCCGATGTAGCGTCGGTTCGCGTCGGCTAGCGTCGACCAGCGTCCAGTCGCAAGAGCCTACAAGATGGTATAGGACGTCCCCATGAGTTGCCACAGAACTGTTCTCGCCTCCCGGGCGCGATTGTCCAACTCCCGCCGCAGCAGACAGCCTGTGAGCAGGGCCACGTTTCATTGCAGACAGTGGATTAGGCGATCCTCTCCTCCATTACCTCGAAGAAAAATCGCCATAAACATACACTTGTGGCGCTCCGCGCGGAATTCTTGGATCCGCGCTGTGCCCCCCTGGCGGCGCCTCCCCCCGGCGGCGCCTCCCTCCGCGCGCCAGGGAGGGGGGTCCAGAGCCGATGTAAGAATTCCGCGCGGAGCGCCACATCTTTATGGATGTGCCGGTATTGCTTCTTCGAATCCCCTCCCTCCCTTCCCCTCCCTCCCTGCCTCCCTCCATCCCCCCGTGCTCCACCGCCAAGTCTGTCACTGAAGCGACCCCACGGCCAGGGGCCTCGACACATGGACCGTTCTGCCTCGCCAGCTCCAGCGGCTGGGGGGGGGGGGCGGGCGCCCAATGACAGGGTGAAGGGGGGGGGGGGCGGGCGCCCAATAACAGGGAGCAGGAGCGTCACAAGGCTACGATTCTGGTGGGTGGTAGTGCGTGGTGACCCACGTGGGGGGTGAAGAACCAGGCCCTGATAAAGAACCCTTCAGGGCTCCTTGTGGGCAGCAGCTGGCTCCCCAAGGGGTCCCTGGAGGGCCCTCTTCTTCAGCCCCTGTATGTGGGTCACCCCCCAATTGCGGTGGAGGCACTCGAGGAATGTGCCCAGGGGGCTTCAGACCCTGGGGGCTTCCTTGTCTAATCAGGGCGGCGGTGATACCCATGGCCTATCTACGATCGAGGTTCCATTGGCTTCGAGACCCTGGATTTCTTGAACATTGGTTCCTTGTCCTCTGGCCGAGGCGCGAGCCGTGGGCCTGGCGGCCCGCGAGGAGCGCGCGGAGGCCGCCCGTGCGCGAGCGGTGGGCCCCAGCCAGCTCGAGGTGCGGAGATGACCGCGCCCTCGGTGGCCGGGGCGCCGCTCTCGGGGGGCGCGCCCCTCGAGTCCTGTGCCATGGGCACGGGCCTCGGCCCTCGGAGGGAGAACAAGAATGCCCTCACCGCGGCAGCCGTGGCACCCGCCCGAGCGACGCTCGCGAGCGTGGAGCGCCCGGCGGCACGCGCGCGCCCATGTGGGCGCCAGGCCGCACGCCTCGGTGCCTCCGCCTGCGGCCCCCGCCACCCCCGGGGAGGGCCGCTCCGCGCGCGCCGGGGCGGCCCTCGGCGAAGGGCGTGCGGCACCGTGGGCCCGTCGGCACAGACTCGGCGGCACCGGACGCCACAGACACGAACTGTCAACTCTCCGCGCAGATTTCTTGGAGCCGCGCTGGGCCCCCGCGGCGGCGCCTCCGGCGCCGCCCCTGGCGCGCTCCGCGCGCCAGGGAGGGGGGGTCCAGCGCAGATCCAAGAACTCCGCGCGGAGCGCTAAAAGTTTGTGTTTATGGCGTTTGTTTCGTCGTCCTATCCCAGAAGGCTCGGAAAGCTTCGGGCCTCCCGAGAAGTTGTCAGAGCCCCCCCCCCCGACGAAAGCACACGAGAGAGGAGCTTCTCAGAAGGCCGGAGGGCCTCTGAGAAGTGTCCCGCCGCCTTCTGGGGAGGCCTCTTCCTTCTCACTTCCCCCTCTCGCTCGCCGCCGAGGCTCGTCAGCAGCGCCCTGAACCAGGGGGGCGAACACACTGGCCATGACCAAGATGTCGCAGGATCTTGTTCTCGCGGTAATCTGGTGGGTTATGGTCCATTACAGCCGTCGCCGACCAAGTTGGACGGCGACCAGGATCGAGTTGACGCCAACCAAGATGGAAGGTGACCAAGAACGGCACAACATTTCCGCGTTCGGTCTTGGTCATGGCCCCCGTGTCTTTCCCCTCGACAGTCTCGGCACCGGTTGTGCACGGAGGGGCTCGCTGGAGCGCTCGGGGGCAGGAGCATGGCCATGATGCTACATCGCCACCGCCACCGCACTGGTGGACATTCGGTGGGGCAGACTCGCGAGCATGAGGCGTTCCACAACACAGGCACGTTCTGTTTCCTGCGACGCTACGCACACCTCCGTGTGTATTTACACTGTGTGAGGTTCCGAGAGCGGCGCTCCGCGACGCGAGGCCTGCGGAGAGACGGCTGTGCCGAGCAGTCCGGCCAGGAGCGCCCCCCCCCCAACACATACACACAACGCAGCCGGCCAGAACTTTTGACATCTCAGTGTCCCCAGTTTTTCGGTAATACCTTGTGCCCGATCTCTCCGTCTCTCTCCCTGTCTCACTCCCTCTATAGAGAGCGCCCTATCACTCTCTCTCTCTCTGTCTATCTCTTTATCGCTCGCATGTGTGCTGCCGCCCAGCGGCCGCTTCAGCGGCACTCCAAGAATTTTGAAGTTCGAGTGCGACCAAGGCGCACTGGACCCGAGGCCAGAGCCCACTCGTGTCCACCGCAGGTGTTCCAGGACCGACCTGAGGCATCGGACAAATATATTTTTGAGCTCCCCCCTGGGGCTGGCGGACATCTGATCCACTGCCTGCTGAGGTCCGCCGCACCAAGTTACACACAGACATCCTCCAATGGATTCTTCCTGGGCCTCAGGGCAGGGTGGCGGTAAATCACCACCGAGAGCCAACGACTTTCTACACCGCCGCCCTCCCTGATGGTACATGCAAAAATCGTCGGAGGGCGCCTGTGTATATTTGTAGTTAACTGTATATGTATATGTATGTGTATGTGTATGTGTAAATGCATACGTATATGTTTATGGCAAGATATATGAACATGTGCGTGTATATGTATGTGTGTTTGCATATGCATATGTGCATGTATACTTATATGTAGATGTGCATGTACATGTATGTGTGTATGTGTATGTGCATATGTGCGCATATGAGCATGTACATGTATATGCATACGTATGTGTATATTTATACACTATATATACGCGTACACATATGTTTTTACGTAGCTGTAGATGTATGTGGCGTATACATATACAACGATATACGTATGTGTGCTTATGCAGACATTCGTATGTTTGTATGCATGTCTGTCTGTCGGTATGTCTGTCTGCCTGTATGGAGGTCTGTATGTCTGTATGTATGTACGTATGTATGTATGCATGCATGCATGCATGCATGCATGTATTTATGTATGTGTAAATTGTATAGTCGTGTTGTGGGAGGTCCTCGGACGTCGATTCGCCGAGCGGTAGATGTGTAATGGTTCTGGCCTCGGGCCAGACGTTGTACGACTAATGCGTGGCAGCTTGCGCGCGATCAGGGCGCAGCAGGGCCGGGCCAAAGGGCGCGTCGGGCCGCGCAGGGCCGCCTGCCGACGCAGGCAGCAGACCAGCCAGCCCTCGGGCGGCCAGCGGCGGGAAGGGGGAGGGGGACCAGGACGGAGCTTCCGAGTTCAAAGATGGCCTGTGGGAGGAGAAGCGGAACCCTGCCCAGCTCCTCTCACGTTTTGGCACCTCTCTGCCCGCTCCACAGTTACAGTCTACTGTGTGAGGTCGCGTTGTTTGGGACGGCTGGCTCAGTCTGCCTTTTCCATCGAGTACAGTACAGTACAGGTGGGCCGCGCGCAGAAAGGGATGCAGAGGGGGGGGGAAAAGGCTTCCTAGAAGCGCCCCTGCTCCTTAGAAGGCGCGGGTCTTGTCTATAGGTGTAAGGCGGGCGCTTTCGAAGAAGCAGCCCCCTTCCGAGAAGCCTTCCCCCTACTCCTACCCCTTGTGCGCGCCGCCAAGCTTAGTGGGAGTAGGAAGTGCCCCCACCCCCAATAGACGCCAGCATCTTCTGGATTCCGGGCATTCGGAGCCGGCCACTTCCTGATCCCGCCGCCAAGACCGCGGGGCGTATCCGCCGAGGGAGGATGGCCTCCGACCTCAGCGGTGCTGGTGGCGGCAAGGTCCTCGGGCCGCCCGAGAGGCCCGAGAGGCTGGGGCGGTGGCAGCACCGCCAGGATCGTGGGCTGGCCTCCCTCGACGGGTGTGGCCCCCATCTCGGTGTCGGCGCCAGCGCGGACGTCATCAGGGCTACCCACGGGGTTGGTCAGATATCCGTTTGGGGAACCTTTCTGGGGCCCACCTAACAGATGTATTCGACTCCAGTCTAGTTCGGCTCACGTTCGCCTCCAGCTCGACTCGAGCTCCCCCCGAGTTCGATTCAAGGCGACGGATACTCGACGAAGCATCGACGCATGAGCGGCTCCAGTGGCTCCAGGAAGGTCCCCAGAACGAGCATCCGAGGGGAGAGACACCCGGGGAACCCTGAGATCCTGGTGTTGCAGTCTGTTTATCGCGGGCGTTTCCGCTCAATCTCGGGCCCAGCGGGACCCTCACAGATCGATCCAGCTCGAGGAAAAGACGTTCAAAGATGGAGGCTGGGGCTCCAGTGGTGATTTTCCGCGATGTGGCAAGTTCTTCGCGACGTCGGGCTTCAGGGAAGGGGAACCCTGAGATCTGACGCCATGTAAAAGTTGCAACACCGCAGGAACCCAGACCCCCGACGTCATGATTTTTTCACGACGCGTCCCCAGAAATCCGGACCTATTCGCCGGGACCGGTCTTCATCTTGAATCGTTGTTTGACGGCCCCGAGGCCCGGTGAGTGCCCCCAGAGGCCGAAAGTAGCGAGACACCTCCCGTCGTGATTTCTTCGCGACGCGAGGGGGTCTGGGGGCCCAGAACCCATCGAGTCATGACAAAATTGCGACGCGAGGTTTTTCTATACTTTCGGCCTCTGGGGGCCCTTACCGGTCCTCGGGGCCGTCAAACAACGATTCAGGATGAAAATTGGCCCCGGCGAATAGGTCCGGATTTCTGGGGGTCGCATCATGACGTGGGGGGTCTGGGTTTTCTGCGGTGTTGTAATTTTTACATGACGTTGGATCTCAGGGTTCCCCTTCCCTGAAGTTTGACGTCGCGAAGAACTTGCCACATCGCGGAAAATCACCACCGAAGCCCCAGCCTCCATCTTTGAGCGTCCTTTCCTCGAGCTGGATTGATGAACAAATTACGACGTCGGGGGTCTGGGGGGAAGGGTGAGGCCCCCAGAGATCTGACGTCGTGATTTTTCCAATGCCGGTCCCCGGGAGGTTCTGACCCCCGACCTTTTCCTCATAGGGAGCTCCACCGAAGGCCCCACTGGGGGTGTTCGCATGCGTTTCCCCCACCCAGGACAGCGCTCCGTGGCCCCATAGGGAGCTCCACCGAAGGCCCCACTGGGGGTGTTCGCATGCGTCTCCCCCACCCAGGACAGCGCTTCGTGGCCCCATAGGGAACTCCACCGAAGGCCAGAATCAGGGTGTTCACATGCGTCTCCCCCACCCAGGACAGCGCTTCGCAGCTCGGGGGTGGATAGCACCCCCACGCCGACACGTCGATTGGTGGATTGTCTGTGTTCGGTTCTCGGGAGGGCGCCGCGGCGGAAGAGGAGGAGGAGTAGGAGGAGGAGGAGGAGGAGGAGGAGGAGGAGGAGGAGGAGGAGGAGGAGCCTAGGCGCTTATGTACTGTCGGCCTTGATTGGACAGGACAGGCGAGAGGACATAAGACCCTTCCGAGGGCCACATCGCCATAGGAGTAGGAAGGCACGCGTCGCGAGGCACAGGACACAAGCGTACCCTTGAGCTGGCAGGGTCGACCTGCTTATCCGGGCCGACTGCAGTGGAGTGTCCGTGTTCGGTTCTCGGGAGGGCGCCGCGGCCGTCCTTTTCCAGGCTTGCGCCCGCCAGGCTTGGGCCCGAGGTCGTTTTCACGAAACTACGGTCTACACCCTAGGCGATGCTTAAGAAAACGTAAGGTTTCGGCCAGAGTCTTGATTATTCTTATTGCTTCAATGGAAAACCTAACTTATCAGTAGATATTGGGGGTTTTATTCAAATTCTGAGACTATGAATTTCTTAACCCATGATTTCTTAAGCATTTCGCAGGGTCTACCAAAGGGGGTTCTGCCCATCCCCGAGCGGGTGGCCTCCGTACCTCTTGCTCCCCCCAGGGTTGGACGCAGCGCGGAACACTGGGTGCGGCTGGACCCCGGGAGCACCGACTGCCCCCCCAGCGATGACGATCACGAGAAGCGCGGCGACGAGCGATGGCAATCGTCAGCGTCGTGGTCGTTGTGATGGCCGTGCTCGTCCTCGTCGTCGTCGTCTCGGCTCGGCCCGATCCGCTCCGAGAGGGGGTGGCGCGGGGGGGAGGGGCCGCCGAGCGGCCCGGGCGGGGGGGCCCCTCGGCAGCCCCGCCGGCGCCTGCGGGCCGAGCGTCTTCGGGTTCGGTGGCACCCCCCAATGGGAGCCTGGTGTGCAGCCAGGTCGCGGAAGCTCCAGCCTGCTTTGGCCTGGATCGCCCGGAAGGGTGTCGAGCGGCCCGCAAGAGTGCCGAGGCTCACGCGTCGGGCCCCGGTAGACGCTCGCCCGGCACCCTGTGGACACTCTTGCGACACCCGTGTGGCACTTTTCTGGGTGCTCGGAATGATTTCTGAGATGCGGTCCTGAAGTAGGATGGGAACAGCATAGGCCAAGTCGCTGAAATAAGGAACAGTTGGGGTCAGGAAGTCACCACCCACCAAACCACCCCAACCCAACCCGAAGGCTCAGATTTGCCCTCCATTTCCAGTGGGGGGGGGGTCGCGGAACATCGAAAAAACACATATGGAACCCTTACCCCCCCCAACCCGAAATTCGGGCCTTCGGGTTGGGTTGGGGTGGTTTGGTAGGTAGTCAGGAAGGGGCTCGATATTCCTTGGGTCCTTCGATGGCTTTTCCTCCAGCCTTCTCCTCGTGCACGCGGGCGCTTGTGAGGCCAGAAAAGGGGCGTCGGTCCCCGTGTATCGTTCCTTCTTTCGGCAGGCCGACTGTACCCTCGAGATTCTGTCTTTAGCGTCGACTCGCGTCGATTAGCGTCTGGGAGCCGATGGCACAGCGCCGATTCGCGTCGGCCAGCCTCGATGCAGCGTCGACGAGCGTGGACTAGCGCCGATCTGCATCGAGCCGCACGAGCCGACGGGATGGCATGGAAGCCTCCCATGAGTTGCCACCGAGCTCGTTTCGGGGACGTAAGACTCGAGTAAACCGGAACTCGGGTGTGCCGACGTATTTCGACGAGCGCGTCCTGGATGTTGACGGTTTAGTTTTCGAGGGACGTTTGCAGCGGGAGTCGCGTCGATTTGTCGTCATTCTTGATGGCCCCGTCGGGCCAACCCGAGTCCCCCGTACCCGAGTCTTACGTCTCCCCGGTCGTGTTCGCACATGATGGCACGGAAGGCTCCCATGATCCGCCCCCGAGCTCGTTCTATGGGCGGAGGATCGATAGTGCTCGCACCTGGCACGCCGCGCGAGGGGCCAGGAGGACATGACGCCGCCGTCATGCCTGGAGAACGCCCGCGGGGCGGACGACACCCATCGACGCCAGGGGCTTCGGCCCCCCTCCGGGGTTGACGTCTCCTCCTCCTCCTCCTCCTCCTCCTCCTCCTCCTCCTCCTCCTCCTCCTCCTCCTCCTCCTCGTTCTCCTCCTCCTCCTCCTCCTCCTCCTCCTCCTCCTCGCACTCGGCGCGGACACTCGCGGTGGGATCTCCAAGAGTCATCCGTCCCAGCACGCCGCCGCCCCGCCGCTGCCTCCACGAGGCCGCCTTCGCGCCTGCTGCGTCGGCGGGGCCGCCGAGCTGCCCCGCGGCGGCGCGTGCCTGCGCCGAGTGGGCTCAGCGTCATGTCGGGCGTGCCCCACTACAGGGGGACTTTCGACGAAACATTAAAACAAAAACAAGATGTCCCCCAAAGGTCAAGCAATATTCAAGAACTAGTCCCCGGGCTATTGCCCAACCATCCTGTGGTGTTGGGTCCTCGTTTTGAAGGGACAGCGCCCCGCGTTCCTTCCTCCTCCCGCTTCTCCCTCCCCCTCCTCCCTCCTCCTCCCTCCTTCCCCTCCTTGCCGTTGCTCTCGGCACACCTCTCACACGCTTCGTAGCCCCATAGGGAGCTCCACCGAAGGCCCCAGTCGTTGCTCTCGCATGCGGTTCCCCCACCCAGGGCGGCGTTTCGTGGCCCCATAGGGAGAGCTCCACCGAAGGCCCCAGTGGCTGCTCTCGCATGCGGTTCCCCCGCCCAGGGCAGCGCTTCTTGGCCCCATGGGGAGAGCTCCACCGAAGGCCCCAGTGGCTGCTCTCGCATGCGGTTCCCCCGCCCAGGGCAGAGCTTCGTGGCCCCATAGGGAGCTCCACCAAAGGCCCCAGTAGCTGCTCTCGCATGCGGTTCCCCCACCCAGGGCAGCGCTTCGTGGTCCCATAGGGAGCTCCACCGAAGGCCCCAGTGGCGCAGTTCGCATGCGGTTCCCCCACCCAGGGCAGCGTTCCGTGGCCCCATAGGGAGCTCCACCGAAGGCCCCAGTGGCGCAGTTCGCATGCGGTCTCCCCACCCAGGGCCGCGCTTCGTGGCCCCATAGGGAGCTCCACCGAAGGCCCCAGTGGCGCAGTTCGCATGCGGTTCCCCCCCCCAGGGCAGCGCTTCGTGGCCCCATAGGGAGCCCCACCGAAGGCCCCAGTGGCTGCTCTCGCATGCGGTTCCCGTACCCAGGGTTGCGTTTCGTGGCCCCAGTGGGAGTTCCACCGAGGGCCCCAGTGGCTGCTCTCGCATACGGTTCCCCCGCTCAGGGCAGCGCTTCGTGGCCCCATGGGGAGCTCCACCGAAGGCCCCCGTGGCGCAGTTCGCATGCGGTTCCCGTACCCAGGGCAGCGCTTCGTGGCCCCATAGGGAGCTCCACCGAAGGCCCCAGTGGCGCAGTTCGCATGCGGTTCCCCCGCCCAGGGCAGCGTTTCGTGGCCCCAGAGCTCCACCGAAGGCCCGCCCCACTGGCGCAGTTCGCATGCGGTTCCCCCGCCCAAGGCAGCGCTTCGTGGCCCCATAGGGAGCACCACCGAAAGCGGCACCCACAACCCGTTACGAACAATTGCTTATGCTTGGGTCCTTCGCCCGGATAATTCACGTTATCATGTGTTTGTATGACCTAGTTGGGGGCCTCGAGCTGGGTCCTAGGGCCCGTTGTGGGCCTCGGCGGCCCAGCGCAGATATTCGGGAGGCTATCTGGCAAAAGCTCGACAATCACGGAGGCCTTGGGGAGGCCACTCGCGTGTCGCATGTTCGGGGGCACCAGTCGGGGGACCCTCCCGGAGGCTCGTTGTAGCAGATGGGCTGACTTTGCTGCGGGGCAAGGTCGGGGCATCCACAGTGCTGGCAAACAGGCTCTTGCTTCCATGAATATTGCCATCAAGTCTGTTCGGTCCACCATACGGTGGCTCTTGGATGCGCGCGAGCATCGCATGACATTTTGCAGAATCGAAGCGTTTCGAAGGCCTCGCGAGCTCAATCTGCAGATTGCGAGAGGACCTCGAATCGAGCTCGCTGGAGAGTTGCGGCGCGCAGTCTCGCTTGCGGGCCAGCACTACTGGAGGTGTGAATCCCCGAACGAGATGCGATCGTTTTCCCTCCATGGCCCGCTCTGCCCGCGCGCCTGCGGCCCCGTTCAGTGCCCGCGCCTTGGCACGTCAAGAGTCTGGCGGGTCCAGGGGCTCTCAGGACTTGGCCACTTAGCGTGGTCCTGGGAGGGTGGGGTATCCTGCTGGGGCTTTCCCCTCATCAGGCACCGAGGTGGAACCCTGGGGGGGGTCCTTTTCGAATGCAGGAGGCGATCTTTTTTCCCAACCACTGTGGTGTTGGGTCCTCGTGTTGAAGAGACAGCGCCCCGCGTCCCACCGTCCTCCTCCTTCCTCCTCCTTCCTCCTCCTTCCTCCTCCTTCCTCCTCCTCCTCCTCCCCCTCCTCCTCCCGCTCCTCCCGCCTCCCCCTCTTCCCTGCGCTTCACCCACCCAGGGCAGCGTCTCGTAGCCCCATAGGGAGCTCCACCGAAGGCCCCAGTGGGGGTGCCCGCATGCGGTTCCCGTACCCAGGGCAGCGCATCGTAGCCCCATAGGGAGCTCCACCGACGGCCCCAGTGGGGGTGCCCGCATGCGGTTCCCCCACCCAGCGCAGCGTTTCGTGGCCCCATAGGGAGCTCCACCGAAGGCCCCATAGGGAGCTCCACCGAAGTCCCCAGTCGGCACCCCCGCATGCGGTTCCCGTACCCAGGGCAGCGCTTCGTAGCCCCATGGGGAGCTCCACCGAAGGCCCCAGTGGGGGTGCCCGCATGCGGTTCCCCCCACCCAGGGCAGCGCTTCATAGCCCCATAGGGAGCTCCACCGAAGGCCCCAGTGGGGGTGCCCGCATTCGGTTCCCCCACCCAGGGCAGCGCCTCGTGGCCCCATAGGGAGCTCCACCGAAGGCCCCAGTCGGGGTGCCCGCATGCGGTTCCCGTACCCAGGGCAGCGCATCGTAGCCCCATAGGGAGCTCCACCGACGGCCCCAGTGGGGGTGCCTGCATGCGGTTCCCCCACCCAGGGCAGCGTTTCGTGGCCCCATAGGATGCTCTGGTGCCCGCATGCGGTTCCCCCACCCAGGGCAGCGCTTCGTGGCCCCATAGGGAGCTCCACCGTAGGCCCCCGTGGGGGTGCCCGCATGCGGTTCCCCCATGTTCCCCCACCCAGGGCAGCGTTTCGTAGCCCCATAGGGAGCTCCACCGGAGGCCCCAGTGGGGGTGCCCGCATGCGGTTCCTCCACCCAGGGCAGCGTTTCGTGGCCCCATAGGGGGCTCCACCGAAGGCCCCTGTGGGGGTGCCCGCATGCGGTTCCCCCACCCAGGGCAGCGTCTCGTAGCCCGATAGGGAGCTCCACCGAAGGCCCCAGTGGGGGTGCCCGCATGCGGTTCCCCCACCCAGGGCCGCATGCGATTCCTCCACCCAGGGCAGCTCTTCGTAGCCCCATGGGGAGCTCCACCGAAGGCCCAAATGGGGGTGCCAGCATGCGGTTAGGGCAGCTTTTCGTGGCCCCATAGGGAGCTCCACCGAAGGCCCCAGTGGGGGTGCCCGCATGCGGTTCCCCCACCCAGGGCAGCGCTTCGTAGCCCCATGGGGAGCTCCACCGAAGGCCCCAGTGGGGGTGCCCGCATGCGGTTCCCCCACCCAGGGCAGCGCCTCGTGGCCCCATAGGGAGCTCCACCGTAGGCCCCCGTGGGGGTGCCCGCATGCGGTTCCCCCACCCAGGGCAGCGCTTCGTAGCCCAATAGGGAGCTCCACCGAAGGCCCCAGTGGGGGTGTTCGCATGCGTCTCCCCTACCCAGGACAGCGCTTCGTGGCCCCATAGGGAGCTCCACCGAAGGCCCCAGTGGGGGTGTCCGCATGCGTCTCCCCCACCCAGGACACCGTTTCGTGGCCCCATAGGGAGCTCCACCGAAGGCGCCTGAGGTGCAGTTCGCATGCGTGTTCCCCACCCATGACAGCGCTTCGTGGCCCCATAGGAGCTCCAGCGAAGGTCCCAATGGCGCAGTTCGCATGCGTCTCCCTCGCCCAGGGCAGCGCTTCGTGGCCCCATAGGGAGCTACACCGAAGGCCCCAGTGGCGGTGTCCACATGCGTCCGCGCCACCAAATTGGGCGCACCCCTCACAAGTTTCGTGGCCCCATAGGAGCTTCACCGAAACCGGTACCCACAATGCGGTATTCGCAACTGCACATGGTTGGGTCCTTCGTCAGGCTAATTTGTGCGAGGGGGTCCTGGAGAGAATAGGCCAAAGCGCTTGGATGGTAGTTCCTCAGAGGCTAGATCTGCTCGGCAGCGCGTTGCTCACCCTTGTGCTGTTCGCACTCGCTCGAATTCGCCATCGCCTAATCGGAACGCGCGGCCTTATGTGAGTTTTGATCCGATTGTGCCATGTACATCTCAGGATGCAACTTTCCTGGCAGATGCGGCCCATGACGTGGTCTCCCCCCTCTGTTGGGCCCCCGCCCGCTTCCCGCCGCGAAGGGCCCGCATCTGCACCAGATGGCCCCGGCGCCAAGCGGGGGCGCCTTTCCTTCCGTGGGCGTCCGCCTCTCGCCAGGGCCACGGTGCCAGCTGCTCCGAGGCCGCCCGCGGGAATCGTTCCCCCCACCGCCGCCGGAGGACACAGATGCTGGGTTTCGCCTGCGCGAGGTGCGGGTTCTGCAGTGCGGGGGCGGCGGGCCATGTGCTGCTCGGCTGCGGTGCCCCGAGCTGCCTGTCAGAGCGCTCCACCGGGAAGCGTCGGCTCCTTCTGGAAAGACGACCTCCTGGGGACGAGGGTCGGGCTGACTCTCGGAGCATCCCTCCATCCAGGCCCCGGCGTGCTGGCGGCCCCGAGACCTCGCGGCCACGGCTCCTCGGGGCCCGGGTGTCTCTCTCTGGGCAGCGTCCCGAACCTTCCTCCGGACCTGCCGCCTGGCCCTGCAGGCGGCCCTGCCCCAACTCGTTTTTTCCTGTTCCTTTTTCGCGGTCGATGGTCGGCGGGGCGCGAGAGGCGCGAGAGCGGCGCGCGCTCGCGCGCGCGCCCCGCGCCTCGGCGCGCCCGACCTTCCACCGCGAGGGCGGCGGTCGCGC